TTACTACTCTTATCAGAAACCAAGAAATCAAGATTTCTATTTATACTTGTGTGACTTATCCAAGTTGCATCTAACTCACAGAAACATTAGATGACTGATACCAATGTTTTATTTTACATAGGCACCTAATATAGATTGTAAAATATTGATCATGTCATCAACAAAGTCTCAAATGTTTAAAATGATACAATTTTAATTACTCCTAGAAATTGTTTTATTTATCCATATTTTCCAAGACCTGGTTTTGTGTTATTTTGTTTATAAGCCTTGATTTAAAAAAAAAAAAAGCAATTCTGATTAAAGTTACAGAGAACTAAAATTTTGAAGAATTTGGTTGTATTATCTTTTCTGACCTTGAGATGGAAAGTGAAGGAGAGTTGGAGCTACTGTATTTAAGTGCGTAAATCCATGAAGTCTTGAATGTAGTGAAGTATTCCTATGTACTTTGTTATGAAAGTGTTAAGTATCACGGATTGCATCCTGCTTTGTTCTCTTGAGTTTAGCTGAAGGTCATTCCCTGTTTTAGAGATTATAGTCGGGGCAAACTAACCTCTGGTGTAGGGAAGAATTGCTATATCATTTTAAATTCTGGCGGAGAAGACTCCACACTAATCTCCTTATCAGCCTCTTCTCTCTGCCACAAGGGTAAATTACAGGTACTACTTTCTACAACACTGTCTAATATAAAATATTAGACTAAAAATGACTATATCTCATATTGTGACCACTTGGGTTCAACATGTAGATTTATGCATAGTGACATGTAAATTACAGTGCTCAGTATGTCTTTGAAAATCTAATTATATGATATTTTATCCTAGCAATAAGAAGAAAAAGCTGATCTATCGATTTTCTTGGTATACTTAAAACCAAATTTCTATCCTAGGATGCATATTTGGAGTGTTACTATTTCTTGGTAATTTTTCTTTTCGATCATTTGTTTGTATTAACGGGATGGTAGCCAAGTTGCACACATACAAGTTACTTTTATGTGTATTCCTCCCTTTATCCAGAATGCTGTTCCTAAAAGTTGTATTAATACATCAGAACTCAGTTTAAATTTTGCTTTCTCATGGACCATTCCTTGACCAATACCATCTAAATAGGTCCTTCCCCATTCTTTTCCATCCTCACAACACTTTTATTGTCTTCATAGTACTTCATGTTTTCAACCAATCTGAAATCCTCATCATAACTTACATCATCTGACCCCTGGCCACCAACTTCACACATTCACTTTTCACCACTCTTCCCTGTGTTCTCGTTTTCACGTGGACCTTCCTTGATGTTCCCAGGATGCATAGGTGACATCCTTCTCTAGAGGGCATTCCCCCAGATATATATATATATAAAATCTTGTGATTCTATACATATATGTACACATATATATGATATATACATTCAGGGAATGAATATTTATTGAATGAGTGAATTATTTGTGTATATGTGTGTGCATATGTGTGTGTACGGATTAACCTCTCTCTCCCCATGGGCTCTAACTGCCACGGAGACTAGAATTATGTCTGTTTAGTTCACCACTCTGTTTAGCCAGTTAGCCTTTCCACAGTAGGGTCTGGCTTAGACCAGGCACTCAATGAATAAGTGAAGAATCCAGACAACTGGGACCAGAGTGAACAGGGGCCTGCTCCAGCCATAGCCATCGAGAGACCTGCACGGGGTTAATATGAAGCCTTAATGGCAGGTGGAAAAGAGTTTGGAATAGGCACAGAGCAGTGAAAACCTTAAGTCCCTCTGTTCATCTTTTCAGGGCCCAGCCTGATCCTGACAAAGGCTCCCTTCCCAAACAAGATCCAAGAAGCTGGTGCAGACTTCTGAGCTTATTACTTTCAGATAATATCTTCTGACTTCTGGGAGGAGTAAATCTTAATTCCAATCCACAGGTTTGATTTCTTTGCTTAAAACCTTTGCCCTTAAGATTCTAGATAAATCGGTTTATGGTGCCAAAGGGCATCAAACAAGAAGATTTAAATTTTAGCACAAAATCTCCCACTAACTAGTAGAGTAACCTTGAAAATACTTATAGCTTCTTCAACGTTTTTCATTTGAAAAGGAAAGATGCTAGAAAAAAATCAAATTATGGATTTATGCATTCAGGTTTGCTGAGATGCCTTTGGGAGGCTTTGTCAAGCATCTTCTTTCCTTCTTCTTTGCCTATTTGCCCCAACCCCTCTTGGTTACTAATCACAGCTTCTGTGAGCTATGGTTACTGACAGGACTCTTGTCAAGCACATAGGGGGAAAGAAAGGTTAAGAACCACTGGCCTGTGTTCTTCCTGCCATCTTTCCCAGAGCCAAAATGTCGTGAATCTATGTACTGGACCTTGGTTCACGACTGACTACCTATCTTTTAACATTGCTTAAATTACTGCAGTCCTTAGTTCACATTAATTTTTGATCTTCTCCTGTGAGTCAGGAACTACGGCAGGCACTGAGAATATGAAAATGAATTTAGAAATGGTCTCTTCCCTCAAGGGGCACCATTCAATAAGGAGATAGATGCAACAGCATGTGAGAAATGCTTTGATGGGGCCAAATCAGTGGGGGTGACCTCTGGGCACAACAAAGGGCACCCAAACAACATGGGAGAGGGCCTAATCTGGAAAATCTATCAGTAGATGACCCAGAAACTGAGTTCTAATTTCAACTAATTGAATTATAGACTGTTAAAGTTGCACAGTGTCAGAATCATCTAATCCAAATTCCTTACAGAGCACAGAGGAAAACTGATGCCCAAAGATACTAACCAAGCCATACAAAGTGAGTGTCACAGTTATAAGCAGATAGGACCCAGATATGTATTATCGGGCTGCCTTTTTAAACAGACTTGTATTTTTTTTGTAGGAACATTTTCAGAACCCTTTCTTCCATTGATTTAGAGATGCAATTAATCAATTAATTAATCATGTTTTAATAAGGTAGAGAGAAAAATATTTATACACACTGACTTCATGTACAGCAATGGTGTCAATAACTCATCATCCATAAATTACAGACTTTGCAGTTAGCTGCTGGTTAATTTATTCAGTTACATCCAGTCTCATTTTGCCTCTTGAGCTACTTACTAATGGGCCTAATCACACTGGAAAGGACAGGTACAGTCTGGCTGCGAACAAGGACAAACTTTAAGAACATATTTACGTCTGATTGCACTTCCTCTCCACAACTGAGTCAGGAATCTCAGGGCTAAAGTAAAATCCAAAAAGTGAAATATTTTTGGTAGTCCTAATATATAAAATTGCTCAGGTAGGCAATTTTCTTGGAGTTTGTTTTTTCTCCCAATGCAGTCATTTTACTTGGGATATTTAAAGGCTGATTTAGTCATGGGACAATATAAGAACTCATTACATTAAAACAGAAATTCGTGGGAAATCCATAATTTCTAATAGCTTGCCATCTGTTTGGCTCTTAGTGGCAATGGATTTATCCTGCTTAGTGTAGATGATGATACTGGGGTGAAATCATGGATTATACCTGGATTTCTGAGCTCTTTACTGTTATTAATTTAGTAGCTTGCAAATCACTTCCCAACATAAAATTATTACTTTTTTCTTTCTTTCTTCTTTTTGTTTTTTTGTTTTTATTTTTCAACTCTTACCCCAAGTAAGATTGCTATGGGCACTCCATAATATCTGTTCTGGAGCCAACAGATTGTGTTAAAGTCATCCACAATCCCTCCAAATTAAAACCCCACTGAGTTCACTGGCTTTTGCATTGTACTCGTATCAGGATGCTCTTTTGCTTTCCCCCACAGTCCAGTTTAATCCGCTAGGAAGAATATTTTTAGAGGCACATCGGACTAAATCATCTTCGACTGAGCACACCATTTCCAAATGGCCGCCCAGGGTCCTAAACCAGGCTGCTGCGGACGGGGACGAGCAGGTGTCCTCCGCTGCGGCGTCGTGGGACGCCAGCGCCCGCATAACTAGACGTCGGAAGCCAGAAAGGAAACCTGAACACGCAGGGACAGGTATAACCTCGTACGCGCACTCCAGAGAGGCCCCCCAGAGCACTGGAGGAATCTAGCCTTAGGCTTGGTGAGGTCCTGGGAGGAAGCAAACACTGCTTCCCCATTCAAGTCAAAGAGCAGGACGCACAGGGTCGCGGGTCAGAAGTTGAATTTCAAAGGCAACCTGCGCTGCGTCCCAGCGCCTTCCGCAGCCCGGGCACCGCGCTGGCACCGGGCTGGGGAGAGAACGAACAAGGCTGGCTGGGGCAGGAGAAACTGAGTTGCCACCACCGGAGCGCTGCGGGCGGCGGGGGCAGAGGAGACCCCGACCGCCTTCGGAGGAGAGTCGGGCTCCGCTGCAGCGACGCTGCGCCCCCAACCCGGGCACTGCTGCCCGTGCTCCGCGTTGCCCTTTCGGCCGAGGGCAGCTCCTCGCCGCTGCAGCCGGGCCGCCGTGCGCCCCGGCACAGGCCACCCCGGGGTGCGCCTCCTCCGCCCCCGGGCGGCCGCCTAAGCACCCGCAGCCCGACCGACCTTCGTCCTCCGGCTCCCGGACAAACTTCCTCCCTCCTGGGCCCCCGGGCCGCGCAGGCTGGCAGGCGGCTCCCTCGCCAGGCTTCCCCGGTCTCCGGCTGCAGGCGCCCTCGCCCGGCACGGCGAGCTTCCTCCCTGCCCCTCTCCAGCCCCGAGCCCCGGGCGCCTACCGGTCCCTGCGCCTCCGCTCCAACAAAGCCGGCGGCCGGGAGACGACCGGGCGAGGGGCTGGGAGTGGCAGCGGGGGCGCCAGAGCCCGGCGAAGGCATCCCTGGGCCGGGTGAGCGCAGCGTGCAGGGGCAGTGGGGACGTGGCGGGCAGAGAAAGGGGAAGAAAGTATCCTGCTCTCGGCGCGAACGCCTTCTACGCTCGTTTTCGCTCGCCCTCGCTCACCCTGCTGCCTCTGCCCGAGCGCGTCCGGCTGTCCCGGTGGGAGTTGGCAGGGGCAGAGGGGGAGGCAGAGGGGACGCAGCGGCCTGGCGGGCGAGCCGCTCCCTTACCTCTGTCCAGAGTGAGCGGCTGGACCACTGTCAATGTCGCCATGTCTGCCGTGGGAGCCGAAGTGACGCTCGGCTTCAGCATCAGCAACCGCTTGTAGTGAGAAAAAGAGGAGGAGATTGGGGGCGGGGGTGGAGAGGGAAGATGGAAAGGAGGGGGAGGAGGGGGGAAGGAGGGAAGGTGGTGGTGGTGGAGGAGAAGAAAGCTAGGGTGGGTTGGCAGCCAGATGGAGACGCAACTGTTCCGCGGCGGGCGGACCTTCAGCTGCGTCGTGAAGCTGAGCAGGTAGCGGAGAGCGGCTGCATCGCCGGCTCCGGGCAGGAAGGCTCTGCCCTAGAACTTTGCTATCCACCCCAAGGAGCGCTGGATGGGTGCAGCCAGTGTGTTGCTCTCTTTCAACTTTCCACTCGAATAAAATGCTGAGTGTACGTGCGTCTCTCGGGAAGGGAGAAGATTGAAAGGGGATGGGGGGAAGGAGGGAGGGGGGAAGACGGATTTTTTTCAGATTAAGAGAAATTGTCAACTCAGTAATCCCATCCCTTAGAGGGAAAACGCTTCTAGTTCAGAAATGTTAGGATTTCATTATAGTTGCTGTTAATTTCTGTTGAAGTTTTTTTGGAATGTTGAGGTATAACAGTATACAGGATAACTGACTTAAGGCCAGGGTTCCATCACTAGGTCTCCATTAAGGACCTGAGTGTATTGCCTAGAAAATAATTTACCTTAAACACAAACTTCTTAAAAATGGCTTTGAATTAAAAAAAATACGCACAAAGAAAAATTTCTATCACTCTGTTTGAAAAACACGCACCTAGCACTTTTTGGGTTGGTTTTTAGCCAGTGGTTACTGAGAGTTGCCAGTTACTGATTAATTAACATGTGTGACAGGAAATACCCTAGGAGTGTTACATGCCATGTGCCATGTGCCTGAACTCCCTCACTTGGGAGTTCAGGACAGTTCCTGCCTTCATATAGCCTGTGGTCTAGTGGGAGATGATGTTATTAAAAGGATCATTTTAGAGTCAGTGGATCAGGATTCAATGACTAGAACCTCCAAATACTGGCTGTGACCCCTTCCACCCCAACAGATGGCTTTCACTATCCTGCCACTGTAGGGACTTTCATTTCCTGATCAAGAAAATATAGAAACCTTCTGTAAGCAGAAAGGTGATGACTGTGGGTTCAGGATTGGAAATGACAAAGCTGCCTCCATCCCCTTCTTTATGACAAAGCAAAATTGTTTTGGCTAGCAATATACTCTTAAAGGCAGACACAGTTTTACAGCAAAATATTTGCATATAATCTATTTCATTGTCTTCCAGTTACAATGTGGGTGGTTTCTGAAGATCTTTTCCTTCCCCTTTTTTACATTTGAAAAAAAAAATAAGATTTCACCAATGATTTGAGCAAGTCAAAGATGACTGGCCATACACCAAATAGATCCTAAAGATGTACTTAAAATAGTAGTTCAATATGCCTATATTTTCATTTAGTGTTTAAGAAAGAACCCTGATCTTGAAATTCAAGTCCTAGTTATGTGCTCTTCAGAAATCACATAATCTCTCACTGATCCCCTTTCCTCATCTGTCAAACAGAGGAATTAATAACCTTCCATTTCACTGAGATTCCGTAAAATGAGAGAATTAATTCTGCCCTACAATCTGAGTTTTCTGAGGGTCTGATGATACTGTTCATGTGACTCTGCTTTGAAAACAATATATACATTTACTCATACAACAAACATACATCCCACCTGTACTGTGTGGCAAGCACTATGCTAGGTGTTGGCCACGCAAAGATGAAAGAGACGGAGCCCTTTCCCTGGACAGTGGTCAGTCCAGGTGAGGAGACAAAAAATGAGCAAGCTGTGAGAATTCCATGCAGTAAGTGTTCTAAGCAGCATAGAAAGGACAGGAAGAAGCAACAATTTTGGTTGATTATCATTATTCACATCCCCTAAATCAAACAACAAAAAAAAGTTACATTGTACACAATAAACAGCAGAGTGTGTTCTGTGGATTTGCACAAAATATCAAACCTCATTCAATAATTGAGGATGAAAGGAACGTACAAAATCCATTGGTCACTAATGTAGTTCTTTTAACAACATACTTTATTATGAATATGTATTTGAGCAGCTTGATTCATAAGTCTAAAAGCCATAATTGTACTTATTTCAACACAAATCCCAGATTGTGATGTCTAGGAAATTAGGTTTTCTGTCTTTTTGTTTTCTGATGTATCCCCAATACCAAACATTTTAGAGCATGTTTCTAGACTTACACCTTGAGCTCTCTAATTGAAAATTTGCTCTATCATAATCTCTCTGTGTTGACTTTGCAGAGTTTTTGTAAGGATTAAAAGAAAAAGTAAAAGAAAGCACAAATCACCATATATTCATTAGTTATTGTTCTAGTAGTGGCAAGTTCAGTGCCTTTAGCTTATGTCTATGTAGGTGTAGAAAATTAATAACAAACACTGCATATCTGTTAGAATTTGTTTTTTATGGAAGATGAATAACTTTCCACGACAGTATTTGTGGGTTCCTACTTTAGACACGCAGAGACATGAGAAAAGTTCCTTACCCTCTTCTTTAGCTTCAGGAAATGTGATCATACTTAGGTCTCATGAATAATTGCCTAGACCACTACTGTACTAACCATAGTATTCCATCACGGTCAATGTATTTGATCTACTCGTATGTATTTTGCTTTGTTGATTGTGTATTAATCAAGGAATTGTTAAAACACATAATTATACTTTTATCTTAGCTATTTGGTTACACAATCAGTACAATTTTTCATTAAATGATATATAATCATTTAGTTCAGTGGTAACTATATTTTCAGTGGAATTCATGAATTCGCTAAATACTTATTAAGCACTTAAAACATGCTAGGCTTGGTGCTAGGTTGATTTCTCTCTCCTCTTTGAAACCCAGAAAAGTGGGTTTTGTTATCCCATTTTATAGATAAGTAGACAGGATCATAGAGGTTAAGCAACTTGCTTAAGAATAGTGGCACTTAGGCTCAAGAGCCCCTGTGCTTTCCACTAAGAAATACTATACTTCATTTTGTATTGCTGAAGATTTAGGGATTCCAGCATTTTATATTATATATGTTTTATATTATATTTATAATGTGTTTGTGTATGTATATAGATAGATTCTTTCTCTCTCTCTTTTTTTTTTTTTGTTATGCTTGAGTTATCCTCAAAGAGAGGAATGCATGGAGGAAATTTAGGTCAAAGGAGAAAAGAACTATAATACTGGTTCCATTCTATATCCATATAGGTTAATATTAAAATGACTACTTACTTTGCAATATAAAATCTGTTCTTGCTAGAAAATTCATTCAAAGCTACGTTAAGGTCTGTTTCACTTAATTGAATCTTTTTGAATTATATAACAAAATCAAGAGAAGGTTTGCATAAAGAATTAGTATACCAAGAAAATGAGTGTAGCTAGATAAGTGGGATATAATAAGCGCAGTGTCATATGAGGAAAATAGCACCTGCAGACTGGAATTCTTTCAACTTTAGGTGTTAGAAATTATTTTTGACTGATTCAAAATATCACATTATCTTCCTTAATTTTCACAGCTTTGTCGAAATAACACTAGATTAAGATGAAGTGCCAACCTATACTTTGGAATATAAATGTTTGTGTTATTTTTAAAAAATAATCATAAATAATCTTACTATATTCATTTAATCCTTAGATCTGTTTTGATAATTACTTATTTGTTCATTGAACAAATGCTTGATGTACTTACTGTATGCTAGGCAGTGTTCTAGGCCCTGGGGTTTTGCAGCAAACAAGAAAAAGCCCTGTTCTCACTTGACTTATGGTCTGCAGGAGAAAGAAAGACAATAAACAAAGTAATAAACAAGAAAGAGATCAATTAGTGACTAAGTACTGTGCAAAGAATGAATGATTTGATGACTGAACTGGGTCTAGAATAATGTCAGGTTTACAAAAGACAGTGACAGAGAGAAGGGTATTCTGAGAAGCAAGAGAGCAAAGCCAAGGATGGGAGAGCACACATGGTGTGTGTTTGGGTAAAAAAAAAAAAAAAAAAAAAAAAAAAAAAAGGCTGTTTAATTTGGAGTAAAAGAAAAACAGGCCAAAGGGGACCTTTGAGAGTCAGGTTGTGAAAGATAATATAATTAACAGAAATGTATTGAACATTTTCATGAGTTACTTTGTGCCCATCATAAATGAAATGTACCAATACAATCCAGGCCAGGAAAAAAATTTTGTGTTGTAGCTTCTACAATAAAAATCACATCAGAATGAAATGAAGAGTTACTAATTCAGAGTTGGATGTTAGAAAATTAAAGATGAAATAAAAATACAAAAATTCAATTCTAATTATTTTTTATTTCTTTTCAAAGAAATAAAAAAGAACTTTGAGAGACAGAAATCTGATATATGAGTAATTATTCCTCAATGGTAGGGTCTTATTTGCATTACTTTACATTACAGTTATCTTGCAAATCCTAAGTATGATAATTAACTTTTTCTCTGATTCTGCAATGGGCAATCGCACATATAATAAGTCCAAAGTCTTTCTGGAACTAGGGTATTTTATTTATGCCTATTTAACTCATTGAATATAAAATGATGTTTTTATTTCATTTTGAAATGAACATTTTTCTATTTTCACAGTTGGAAGTTATGATTGATCTTTTTATAATGAAATTTAAGTTCACAGCTTACAATTTTCTTTTTTTTCTTTATTCATCCCAACCTCACATTTACATCATTGACAAAGCCTAAGAGATTTAAGAAAGGCAAGATAAAATGATTTTTAAAAGTGATACTGGACTCCTCTCTCTCTCTCATCGACTCAGGAGATATTTCCAAATATTTAAAACCCACAACCTTTATTAAAGTTTTAATAAAAAATTATTAGCGTAACATTTTTAAAAATTTAGTATATTCAGTTTCAAGTGGAAAATTATGTGTTTTGCCAACAAACGTTCGATATGTCCTTGCTATACGCCAGGCACTGTTCTATGGCTGGAGAGACCCAGTGGTAATCATGGAAGAAGTCCCTTTCCTTACAGCGCTTAGTTTTTATGAAAGGAAACATACAAGGATACTATAAACCAGATCATCTTGGGTAGCGGTAATG